CCTTCCCTGGTCAGAGCCCCTAAATCATGGACACCTCTGGCCTTTTCTTCTCTGGATTTCACACTCACAGGCCCCACCACCGAGGGGTGCCTGGGAGGAGCATGTGTGCCACAGGGAGAGATCTTGGACTCCATAGTAAACAACTGTGATGGGGGTGGGTGGGAGTGGGGAGGCTGTGAGGAGGTTTGAAGAGGCAATGGGGTGCAAGTCAGAAGACCTGGGTGGGGGCCAGTCCCGGTGAACTCTCTGAGTGGGCAGTTCCTGCCTCCCTCCTCTGGGCCTCAGTTTTCCCATCCATCCACCAAGGGGGCTGGACTCCAAGGTCTTTAAATGTCCTAAGAGCTTGAAAGATTCCATTCTCTTCTCTGAATCTGCCCAGGGGGAGGCCTTGGGGGCTGGGGCACAGGCAGGGGCTGAGAATTCCATAGCAATTTGCATGTGAAAGCATGTTACTGCCATGGCTATTAATGTGTGGGGGGAGACTGAAGACAGGGCAAGGACAGCTAACTGTCAGGCTGGCTGGAAGGGCCCAGGCAGCCTAGGGTGGGGGGGCAGCCCTGAGGTATGCCCAGGGAGGCTGAACAGCCACACTCAGTATGCAAGGGTGAAACTCCTGGACCTTTCAGCCTCCACTCAGCCTTGAGATGCCCAGTTCTGGGCCCAGGCCTTGCAGATGCCACCAAGTTGTTTTGTGGAATGAATGGCTTCAGAGCTGTGTGAGGTGTGCAGAAGAAGGGCGCCCAGGGAAAGGGGTGGACTGTTAGTGCATTTTCAAGGTCTGCTTTGCACCAGGTCTAAATCTCCCAGGACAGTAATAGTTTCCTTAGGTTATACTGTGTGACTTTAGTAATTGCCTTGTGTAAACTTACACAGTTTGCCGATATAAATATAGTGTATATATAGGTTTGTTTGGTTCACTCGAGGATGTGTTGTCTCTCTCCCTCTCCCTCTCTCTCATACATACATGCATTCTTCTGGGGATTCTGGGAGAACAAAGCCATAGTGTGTGAGAAAGGCAACCTGCCCTAGCCCGTGAGGCAGGAAGCTGGTTCCTAGGCCTGGCTCTGTATTATTCTCTGCTTATCCTTGGTTAAATCCCTGTAGTCTCTGGGCCTCAGTTTCCTCATGAGGACTTTGGTGTAGAAAGGAGCTCTTAGAAAAGTCCTAGCTGTATCATTTCCAGTCCCTAATTTCTCAGATTCTACTAAGCAGCCAGGAAGGCAGCTAGGGAGGCCAGGCCTCCAGCCAGCTTGTCCCCTTGAAAGTAAGACCTCCAGAATCCAGCCAGGATGCAGGCATGGATCCCAGGATTTCCTTGGGTTTCTCCTGGAACCTGGTACTGAAAAAGCCACACAGAGCCTCTCCCTAGGGATTGGCCAGAGAAAGGAGGAAGCCCCTTCCCTCAGAAGCCAGCTCCTCACCCACCACCTCTGGATAGGCTGGGGGAGCCCAGGCATGGAGCCACAGTGACAGCCCAGGGCTGAGGACACCTCTGTTAGTCCTGGCAGCTTCTACCTCCAGGCTTTGGGAAATGTTGATCTTGGGTATATGTTGCCCAGGAACCTGGGCCAGAGCCAGAGCTGCAGGATAACTTTTTATGCAGATGTATAAGAACCTTGCAAAAGGCCAGTTTGGGGCAGTGATGATAGCAACAGCCAGATCCTGGGGTTCACTCTCAAAGCAAGAAGAGCTCCAAGAAGCCCCAAGCCAGACTGTCCCCTCTCATTCTTTACAGGAGAAACAACAGGTGCTTACTGGGTGCCAGGTATTCAACGTTTGTTGAAAAAAAAATAGGTGAATAAATGAAAGACTAGCTTTAGAACCCAAGTTTTTAATCCATGTATCTTCCATTCTGCCTTTCACATTCCTACCACCCAGTCACCATACAAGGAGAATCGAGTTAGCTAAGCGCTTGAAGACCTTTCTAGAATAAGGGGTCCCTGGGACCTCACCTATCTTGTTTATCCAGTGTCCAGATCATGGATGGGCATACAGCAGATGTTCAGTAAATACTTTCTGAATAACTCTAATACCACTCTCTCAACCAGTCAGGGAAATTAAGGCCCAGTGGGGCAAGAGACCTGACTGCCCTTGCCTAAAAGAAGTCATGGCAGAGAAAGGACAGATCCTCAGGTGTCCAGCCTCTCGGTTCAGGGTCCTTTGTGGCAAAGGCATCTACTCTCCCATCTCCTTTCACAAGTTCCTCATTTTTCACAAACCCCAGCTTTCCCTTCTTTCCTTTCTCTTTGCTAGCTGGATAATTAGCCACTGGAAACAGACCCTATAATCACTGTCTCCCCATTGCCCTTGAATTGCTTTCATTTTGGGCTCTGTGACCCCTATTCCCGGTGGGGGCTGTCTCCCCCTCAGCATCTCCCAAAGGGGTAGCCAACCTAACAAGGACCAGCTGGGGTCCCAGCCCTTCAGATCCAATGGCCAGCTGTACTGGAGGCCGGCAGCAGATGGGCTAGGAGGGTCCCCAGGCAGGCTGGGGCTGACTCAGCTGGGGTGTCAGAGGGACTGTGACGTGCCCAGGCAGAACAGGAGGCCAGCCAGGCAGGCAAGCAGGCAGGCAGGCCGGATTTCCGAGAGTGATTGATACCAGGTGGCTGGAGGGCTGCTTGCTCAGCAGCCCAACCTAGGATGGCCTCAGTTGGGTTACCTGGGTTCTTCAACCCACCTTTATGACTCTTGCTTTGAGGGTGCTAGGCCATCCACATCCCTTGTGCCTCAGGGAGGCCTCCTGGGAGCTTAAAACAGACTGGTACAAGGTTACATGAGCCTTGGCTTTCCAGCCTTATAAAGCCCATTCCTCCAAGGAAACTGAGGCCTGGCTAGTGTCTGCTCAATTTGGTTTCATGGGTAAAGTGGGTTCAGCTTTCAGAGGAAGCCAGGCAGCCCCACCCTCACCCGGGAAGCATCCTCTATCCCTGAGTCACCAGGAGCTTGGGCCCAGCTGGGACAGTAAGGAGAGGGAAGGGTGGGGCAGGTCTGGGGCCATACTCCTGGAAGCTCACACCATCTGCCTTCAGCTAGCTAAGCCTGCTTCCTCCCTGACCCAGACAGATGGGAAGGGAATAGGGCTGGGAGTAGGGAGGGCTCCTGTTCCTCAAGATCTCCAAGGAAGCAAGAGGTAAGAAGTAGGGGAATGAAAAGAGGGGGAGTCATGCCTCTTACTCTCAAGAAACTGCTATCTGCTCATGGTATAAAAGGCCTTGGGCTGGAATCCTAGTGTCCCTGCTCACTTGTACAAGTTACAGGTAGGGCCTCAGTTTCCCCAACTCGAACATGAGGCAAATAATTCCAACCTGCCACCCTCTCAGATCAAGTGTTTAATAAAAGTGATAGGCATTAGCCCAGTGAAGGACACTATCCACAAGGATAGCACCACAGTGTGATCAGTACAGTGTGGGCACCGAGCTTAATTCAACACCAGCCAGTGAGCCCACACCGAGCACAAGCTCCTGGGCTGTCCCTGGGCTGTTTGGTGCACTGTCCCAATCTTCTTTCAACCTTCCTCTTCCAATTTTACTTTACATTCCACTGCTTACTCCTAGGGCCCCCAGGAATTCCATGCCCCACCTGTCTGGCAAGGGCAGCAGGTAGCCTGAACCTGGGGGGAGACACTAAAAGGCACTCAGTTGGAGAAGTCTAGGAGGGGCTCACCCAGCCTGTATCCAGCTCTACTCAGTTGGAGGCACTGATCTGGCCTGAAGCAGTGCTTGTTAGAGACCCCAGCCTGAAGCCCTCACTCTGGGCAGGTAATCAAACAGCAGAGGCCCCATCTGATTTAGGCACTTCCTTTGGTTAATGAGAAACCAAATAAACAGCCTCTGCCCAAGCTAGCTCCAGGAGCACCCCAGCCCAACCCTCCTCTAGCCCAGCCTCCCTTCCCTCTGCCTGCAAGTCCCCTAGCTCTCCTCTCCCTTCCTTCTCCGTGTGCTCTCCACTTCTCACAGACCCCGGCCTGCTCCATGGCTGGTTCTCTGAGGCTTCTTGCTCTAGATTCCTTACTTACCTTCCCCTTCCTTCCACCTCCTTTCCTCTATGGCCTTCTTACCCAGTTTTAGCTGCTGAAATCTCACTTGCCTTCCTTCCTCCCCTGACATCTGTCTTAGCCATCTCCACAGGGAGTCTTCTCACAAGACCCACAGGCGGCTCCAGGCTGGAGCAGGGAGGCCCCAAGCCCTGACCGTCTGCAGCCCTACCGTGGGATAGAGGCCAACTCCTCTTCAGGGCCCTCACCAACCAAGTTACTCATCAGCCTGTGGAAGGGAGATGGAGTGCTCAGGGCTGCCCTAACCTGAGGGTTCCCACTGCCAGTCAGCTCTGGTGTGGCCAGCTCTGAACACGGGAGAAGGAAGATGATTCTATCTGAGAGGTGAATGCAGTGGCTGGAAGCCACCAGTACCTGGTAGGCCGAGGCTGAGACTCAGGTCTTAGGAAGTTATTTCTATCCACTTTCAGCTTCCTGAGGCAAGGCAAGGCCAGACCTGCAAGCAGGTTCCAGATCTAGGTCCAGCCAGGTGGTGGCAGTATGTGTGGACACACTCAAGTCTCCGTGGGAACATCCCCTTCCCCATCAACTCTTTCTAGCTGACCCTGGTGCCAAACTGGGCAGATGCCTATGGCCTGTGCTCCAGAGGTGACAGGATGGGTGGGGAGAATGGTTCCAGGCTCCACGATAGCAGAACAAGAGGACAGAGAAACCTGGGCAGGGAGGAAGCAGCAAGCACAAAGCACAAGGCACTTGAAACATCTTACTCTGCTAGGACAGCTACCATCTTCTCATACCTGCCCCGATCACCCGTGGTTTAGGCACACATCACAGTGCCTGTGCATGTATGCACACACAGACACATGCACGCACGACGCATGCATACAAACACATACTCTTACACTCCCTTCCCCAACATCATGACACCATTTTACGCCCATTTCTCCATGTGGTTAATTTTTTTTTTAGTTCTCATTTTTTTCTAAGAAAAAAGCAACAAGAAAATAATTCAGAGTTTATACAAAACATCTTTACATTATTTTTTTCCAAAAAAGACTAGTATTTACACAAATGGCAACAGAAACAAAACAAAACAAAACAAAAAACCCTTCCGATTGCCACCTGGAAGGGGCTGGCTGTTCTGCTCCCTCTCCCACCTGGCACCAGGTTGGGCAGCTGGCCAGGAGGCAGTGTGGAGGTGGATGGTTGTAAGGCCCAGCTCCTTCCATGGCTGCTCTGGGAGTGCCTCAAGGTATACTCCAGTGGCAGTCTGTTAGCAGCTGTGCTGGCAAGGAGCTGGGGTCAAAGTGCACAGCGGGCAACCCTGGGCAGACTCTTCCTCTTTCCAGGCCCCAGCCCATGACTGGAGGGTGGGGAGGGGCAGTCGGGGTCAGGTTGGGCATGGGGGGGCACCCATCTGTGCTAAATTCCAGAAAAGGAGCAGGTCACCTGGCCTTATTACCCACTAGGTCTTCACCTTGGGCCTCTGTTTCCCCACTGGGCCAAAGAATGCCAAAGGTAAGGAGAGAACAGGATGGCGGTGGGGAACTCCCAGCTCTGCAGGGCAAATAGCCACCTGGGCACCTCACCTCCCTCCACCCCCCATGAAGTCATCTGCCTGCAGCAGCTCTCCTGTTCCCCAGGCAACAGCCAATTAAGACATTAATTACCGTGGGAGTGAGGGAGGCAGGAGATGCCCAAGAATCCCAAAAGGAAAGGGATTTTATTTTTCTTTTTGGTGGAAGGGTGGCAGCCACTACCCCACTGCCAGGATCAGCTCTGTAGAAGGAGGGAGGGTGGTACACTTTGCTCAGTAGCACTCTCCCTTGTGGGTGTGGCCTGCCCTCCCCCACCCCCTGAAATACCAAGGAGTCTATAAAAGCAATGCCATTCTCTGCTTCCTGGCTGGCCATATCCTGCCCCAGGCCCTCTTATACTGGGTCAAGCCAGGCTCAGAAAGCCTGAGGAGCTGCCTTGTATATTTTTCCATTTTTCTTCAAAAAACAGATGAAAATGAGTTGACAGCTAAAAAATTGAACACAAAAGCATTAAAAACAGTGATGATAGTGGACGAGCAGTCCTAGGAGGGGGAAAGGGAGTTAGGGAAAGGGCAGGGCCAGGGGGCCATCTCCCTGCCTGCTGTCTATCAGCGTCCAACCCTGCCCTCCAAGAAAGGGTGCCCCCACCGAGCCCAGAGGCCTGGCCAGAGGGGGAAGGCACAAGAGCATGGGGTTTGAGGGCACAAGCACCCCCCTCCGAAGCCCAGGGGGCAGGGAAAAAGGGGGATTATAAAAGCCAAGAAACTACAAAACTAAATACAAAGGTGGGCACAGCTGGCAGGGGTGGGGTGTGGGGGGAAAAGGAGCGGTCCAGTCCAGGCCTTCTGTCCCTCAGGGCCCAAGGCTGTACTGGGCACTCAGACTTTGTAGTAGATGTTCGCCGGGCTCTGGGGTGGCATCTCCTGGACGATGTAGACGGGGTGCCCATAGTCTCCACTCACCTTCTCATAGTGGGGGCAGTAGTTGTTCTCTGTAGTCCGTAAAGGGATGATGATGTCACTGGGCTCAGTGCCCGTGGTGCCACTACCCCCCTTGGGACTGGCCAGGGTACTGAGTGAGAGGGCAGCTGCCCGCTGCTGTGTGTGCTTGCGATGCCGCTTGCGCAGCTTTAGTAGTAGAACCGTCAGGAAGATGATGATGAGCAGGAAGATGACACAGCCGGCACCAACGGCTGCAAACAATGCCACCTTGGAGTTGAAGAAGTTGTCAGGGTCACTGCTGCTGCCCCCACTTGCACCTGGGCCACTCTTCTCTTCCTGGTTCACAGTCTCTGAGAAGGGGGAAGGCCAAAAACCATCAGCCAGGGAAAGATGACACAGCCAACACTGACAGCCATAAACAATACCGCCCTGGAGTAGAAGACATTGTCAGTGTCCCTGCTGCTGCCCATATTTGCCAGGGATACATGGCAGATCTTAGGCTGGGCCAAGCCTGCATTTCATCAGAGACACAAGTAAGCAATGGCTTCTCTGTAGGAAACACCTATATATGCTCACCATGCTTGCCATCAGAGTCACCCTGGGGTCCCCGACCAGGGGCCTGTGTGGCTGTCTTGACAGTGTTGTGTGCCTCCTTGCTGGGCTGGCTGGTAGTCAGCTGCTCAGGTGTCACTGCATTGGGATCTGAGGGGAGGGAGAGGACAGGTGAGAGGGAGGAACTCTGCCAATATAGGGTGGCCAAGAATGGCCTTCACATTAGTCCCCGGCAATTCTAACCGTAGGGCCCCTCCCCTGCTCCCAGCACCCACCCCTAGGCCTAACAGAACCCTCAAACTGGGTACTCACCTTGCCCAACCTTCATGATGATCTTCATTGTGCGTGTATGGCACACACCACCCTCCCGGTTCTCCAGCCCTTCCAGGCTCCCATTGGATGTTGCTACAGGAGGCCAGAGCAGTCAGAGAAGTTGGGAAGGGGGAAAGTTCTGCATCATTACCCAAAAACCCAAGGGCTGCCCTCAGACACCAGGGCAGAACTGGGGCAAGGAATGACAAGCAGCTCCCACCTACCCATGAACCTTTCTACTTCCCTCCTTCGTGCTAAGAAGAGAGCAGCCCAGTTCAATCAGGCCAAGAGCGAGCCTGTCCTCCAGAGGAACTGCTTCTTTCCCATGATCAGGCCGTGGCCCCTCTTTTCTTGAGGGCGATGCTAAGGTACGCCTTCTCAATGAGAGATGCTGCTCAAAGGTAAAGCAATGGGAACCAGCATCATGGGACAGGCTTCTATACACAGTGGAAGGAGATCTAGATTAGGAGTCAGGAGAATTGGGCTAGAGTCCCAATCCTATCTCCAACTTCCTGTGTAATAAGGCAAGAAGCCTGGAGCCTCAGTTTCCCAAGAAGAAAAAGGCAGAACAGATTCCAAGGGCTCTGCCAACTCTGCCATTCCCAAGATTAGCTCTTAGTGGGCAAACAAAAGGAGAGAAAGCAATACGAACTGGAGGCCTCTCCACCCAACCCTTGGAGCCAAGGCAAGCAGGGGACAGGCCATGTGGTGACTGTTGGGGCCAGAATTCCAAGGCCACACTGAGAGAGAGCATGCTAGTCTTCAACGGGCAGGGCCTTAACTGTGTGTGATATCACTGCACCACACCGAAGCTCCCACTGCTGCAGGAGGGGAGAGAGCCATGCCCAGGAAGAGAGTGCCACACCATGAGAGGGGACTCACAGGTAATATAGTAGTCATGGTGCTTTTTGAACTCCAGGCCCATGTAGTTGGGGCTGAACTCCTGGAACTTGATGGTAAAGCGAATTTCCTGCTCTGGCCTGTTGCAGGTGACCAGCACATTGGGGTCGAGCACGGTACTGCAGGTAGCTGCCTGCTCTGGCCGCACCAGGTACAGCTTGTAGTACTCATAGGGCCTCCCTGCTTCTGCTCGGGGACAGATGATGTCCAGCTTGTCTCCAATCTTCGGGTAGATCACCAAGCCCTTCCCACTCAGAAACCTGTCCGGAAGGAAGGAGATGGTCAGCCTCAGGATTGAGGGGTTTCAGGCCATCCCAGAATCAGGAGAGTGACAGTGAGGGCCAGGCTGGGCCTACTGGGTGGAGATGGAGAGGGCAGCCTATGTGCCCTTCCTCCATCCTCAAGCTGAGGGTGGAGAGAGAGAACCACACTGCCAGCAGGGTGTAGAAGGGGTGGCCCATGAGCAAGGCTGCTAGGCTCTAAGTGGTTGGCAGGGTGGGGCACTGCCTACCTGGGGGAGCCCTTTGTCCTAATGTGGCATTTCCACAGGGGGCTGACGTGGCCAAATGGGCTGAGTACCAAGGTGTCATGCCCAGGCTGCCTGGAGGTGCCAGCCCTGTCCCTCTACCCCCGACACACTCACATTCCTTTATGGCCTCTGTTACCTACCTACACAGATACAGTTACAGACACACACACACACACACACACACACACACACACACACGCGCGCGCGCACACAGAACAAGTCTAAACATGCCTTAGCCACCACCCCCACAACTCCCAGTTAAAGGCTGGGGAGCTCAACCTGTCCAGGATCCCATGCCTTTTCCCCCACTCTTGCTAATCTTGAGCATGATGGGGCGATAAGAACAGGCATTGCCCATAGCTAAAGGGATGATGGTTGTAGTCTCTGGCTAGGTGCAACTCCATACTACTGGCAACCCACCTCACCCTCGTAATGCGAGAGCCTGAATCCCTGTACAACCAACCAGTCTCATTCCTAAGAAGAGAGGGAAGGAGGAAAGCGGCCCAACCAGGGACAACAGATCATATAAGACAGGACCTCAGGTACTCCACTCATTCGTGTTCTAACCCCTCACCTCCATACCACTCCTACTGCTGATCACGAGAGCAGATGGACAAATGTCTTTTGGGCCAGAGTTTATGATCTAATCTAGAAGGCCAGGCACTGGAAGAAAGAAGGGGAGGCCAGCTGCCCAGGGACACCTATTCATAGACACTGTCCTTGCCTAATCATACAGTAAGAAAGTGGAAGTATGGTGGCCATTTCTGAGCCTGGTCTAGCTAGAGCTGAGAGCAAGGCAGTAGTGTGTAGGAGGAAGAACACAGGCTTTGCAATCAGACTCCCAGACTAGGCTTTCACTAGCTCTGCAACTCCCCTGGGAGTCAGTTTCCTCACTTATAAACTGGGGTGGTAAGAGCCCCTACTTCCAAGGTTGTAGAAGGGAGGCAAAGCAGCATATGGGGAGCACACTAGGTGCTCAATATGTTTGAATCCTTCTTAGAAATTATTTGCTAAGAGGCAGAAGATTAGATACTAACACTAAGTTCTTATGAGCCTAGTCTTGTTTCATCCACTGGAAATAGTGAAAATACAGCCCCACTGTCAAGGACTTTATTGTTTGATTTGGCTGAGAAAAGGAAATGAACCATGTTCTGGTGATAGACAGCTCCAGACAATCTGTATGAGGATGGTATTTCAAACAGCCAGGGCTGGAGACAATGAGAGGAAGGAGATGGTCCATCTGACCAGGATGGTCAGAGATGGTTCCATAGAAAGAGCAGGATACAGCCAGGCATGGCAGCGCATGTCTGTAATCTCAGCATTTTGTGAGCAGAGGCAGGATGATCACAGGTTCAAGCCAAGCCTGGGTAACTTAGCGAGACCCTGTCTCAAAATAAAAAATGGCTTGGAGTGTAGCTCAGTGCAAAGGCCCTTGGCTCAATTCCCAGTACTGAAAAAGAAAAGAAGAGGAAAAGGAAGAGGAGGATAATGGTGGGTCCCGGGTGAAAAATAAGATGTTAACACAGAGCAAGACTGAAGAGCAGTGGCTGGTCCAGCTTGGCTAGGAGAGGTAGAGAGGAAGAAAAGAGGTGGAGATCAGGTAGGGCTAGACTAAGGTCTCAAGGACCACGACAGGCAAGTGTGGGTCTCATCTCACTGCTGACAGACCCTCTAGCAAGAGGGATATAATGGAGAGCTGAATGCAGTGCTTGCAGAAAATGAAGCTGCAGGATCACACAGCTATGTTGGTGAAGAATACCAGCTCATAGGTTATTACCATCATCTGGGAAGAGGGCCAGTGGGACAGTGGGGACAAGCAATAAGGGCCCACTCTGGGCAAATGCCTTCATCAGAATCCCCATTGAAGGCAGGGAACTGAAATCTCACTAGGCAAGGAGAAGAATTAACCATGTGAAGCAGATGAGGAAAACCAGCCCTCCTTCCATGTCAAGTGATACTCTGTGAAGCTGGGAGCTATCATTTTGAGGCACAGGAGGGTAAAAGCCAGAATGGGATGGCCTTCCCCTTAGCACCTAACTTTACATTTCTACAGGGGCCAGAAAGGAAGCAGACATGGGACAGAAGTCCAAATAAACATTTGAGAGGGAATGCCCCTACTCCATGCACCATACAAAGCCCACAAATTTCACAAAAGCTTCTGTAATTCCGAAGCCGTTTTTCACTTTCCATTGCTCATACTGGTTTGGTCCAGATGGCAAGAACAGACTATTCCTAACATTGTAGAGCCTAAAGGAACTGTAGAGTCCTATGGAGTCCAGATCCTTCAGATGAGGGAATGATCCGATGAATGTTCCCATTGAAAAGAGATGCTCAAAGCCAATGCCAAGGGCCTAACCCCTATGATAATTCGCTAGGGATCTAAGGGAACCTAGACCATTGGTTGATTCTTACATAGTTACACCTCAACCTGTTAATGTCGCTGCACAGAGAGCCTACAAGGGAGACAGACCAGCTGACCTTTCTAACCACTTGGTCTAGCGCCCAGGATTGGAACATGGTTTCTAGCTAGTTCTTCTACCTCGAACCCAGAGACATTAAAGAATCAGATGTCTACATGGTGAGGGAGGGGGAAGAAGAAAGAACTACTGCCCCCAACGCCCCTCAGAGTCTCTTCAACCTCAGTGAACAGACTTCATAGATATTCATCAGTTCATTTGCATAGCAGCTGGCAAAGGGAAACTCACCTTTCCCTAAAGAGCAGAAAGAAGAGGAGCCCGATGAGACCTGTAGTCCCTGACCCTGATCCCTCACACAAGTACCTTCTTAGCATCTTTCCCCAAGTGGACAAACTTCATCTAAGCCCACAATAAGTCCAAGAAAGTGTGAGGGATCACAAGGGGTGGGCATGTAGCCAGTGAGACTGAAGCCCAAAACCAGGTACAACACCAGTGATACTTCATAGGGGGATCCTAGGTCTCCCCTTTTTCTCATCAGGTTAGGAATAGAGGGTAGGAAAGGAGGAAGAAGGGATGTCTCCAAGTTAAACTCTATCCCCTACCTGTGAAAAACCGCTACCCTCCCCCTATTATCAAGCCAAGCTTTCCTGCCTGGGGCCACCCCCAGACAAAACCCTTTTCTGGAAAATAAGAGGATTGACATGGCCCAGCAGGAAGCCCCAAGCAGGTTGCCATGGTAACCCCTGAAGCCTTCCCTCTGGAGCTCTGATAGTCCTGGGACCCCAGGGAGCCACCCTAGGGAGTAAAAGGACTTGGAGGAGGCCCTATGAACTATTCTAGCTCCTTTCTTATGGCCTGCTGCTTCCCCTCCACCCTGAGATTAGAAGTGCCACCATGATTGCTCAAAAGGATCCTGGGACATGAAAAGTCTACAAGATCTGGGGATGGTAGCCCCCAAGACCCTGGACTAGTCAGACACCAGTGGACCCCTGCCAGTCTCCCCACCCCCTGCATCCTTTGCCCAGATGAGCTCGTCTCACCTTACAATACTATCTACAGAGGGGAGAGCTTGCAGGTGGGACAACCACACCCAAAAAGCTGCCCATGACCCACCAGGTCTACACTACCTTTCCTCCCACCCCTCCCTCGGCCCTAACAAACTGTGGTCAGAGAGGGGAGCCTAATCTCAGGCCATGCACATCCAAGTTGGTGGAAGATTCTAGCTACAGACTTGTTTTGGTGACCCTAACACTACTGTGCCCATACCTTCAGGGTGGTAGGACCAGCCTAGACCCCCAAGCCAGAGATCAAGCCTGCTCTCATCCAGCTAGGGTGGGGAGCCCCCAAATTAAAGGCTCCTCTCTCACTTGCCCAGCTCTGTCCAGCTCCACCCAGCCCCCGAGGCGGCAGGAACAGGCCTGGCGTGTCCCAGCAGTGCCCGCCCAGGCGTGGGTGGGCAGGTACAGCAGCTGGGTCCTGGCACACACACAGCTCTGTCGGAGGCAGGGAAGCCAGGAGAGTCCCAGAGGAAGTCACCTCCCCACCTATGTGAACTATGCTCTCCCTCTGCCTAACCTAGTGTCCACTGGGGGGTTAACACCCCTTCCCGTTGTCTGCTTTCCATGGGGTGCCTGAGAGGGAAAGATTCCTGACCCAGACAGAAACCAAAGGAGCTACTCAGAGCTCAGAGGAGAGTGCCAGGCAGTGAGTTGGCTGCCTCTGGTTCAGGTCACTGGAGCAGCCTGACCTTAGAGGTAGGCCTAAGAAAGTTAAATGAGGAAGCCAGAACATGGCTCACCTCACCCAGACAGAGCCTGAGTCACAAGGACAAATGCATGCACACCTGTGAGATGAAAGGAGAACCCAGGGGCAGCAGGAGCCAGCACCTCTTCCCAAACCCCACCTTGAATTCCTATCTCTCCCAGATTTCAAGGCAGCAGGATGGTACACAAAGAATGACACACAGCACAGCTCTGTTCCCTTTAACAAGTCACTGACTGACCTCTGACATGTCATTTCCCTTTTCTGGGCCTGTGCCTCAGTATCTGGAAAATGGAACCGAATACCTACTTCCCAGGGCTGTTGGGAACATCTGATGAGATCATATATGAGAATGCATTGTAAGTAGCAAGGTGCTGCCTGCTTATTAGCATACCAACCACAGTATCGCTTAAAAGTAGAAGCTGAAAGTGCTTACCCCTCTGGGTGCAGCACCCTGACCCAAAACCACTACTGTCCATGGGGCAAGGATCTCAAAACATTTCCCCACCTCAGTTCCCCTAACAACCACAAGGTGGACCCTCCCCCAAACCTGGTATTCCTATGGCAACGTCAGCAGCCTCCTGGTTGGCCCACTCTCCCCATAGTCCTAACCCCCTCAAGAAAACAGTGATGCACAGTAGTATCCAGGGCCCACTCGTCCCTTCACCTGAGCTGGTAAGGCAACAAAAAGCCCAAGGGAAAAAAGGCAAGATTCAGTCCCCACCTCAGCCTTGCGAGGGCCCTTCTTTCTCTGGCCTAGCTGCCCTGAGGAGGGGCAGGGAGGCAGGGCAACAGGAACAGCTGGGTTCCCATCACTCTCAGCCCCTGCCTGTGGCTGATCAGCCACAGAGCAGAAGAGGTCAGGGCCCCTAGCCACTCCAGAAAGGGGCCCTTTTAGCTGGTCTCCCCAGGACTATAGAACAGCTGTGAGGGGGCTGGGGGACCAACACTTTGGCTTGTAGCAGGCAAGTATGTGTTGGGGTCAGCAGCTGCCTCCACCCATACTCCAGTTAAGGGTCTCGAACACCAAGCTGAACCCCTACCCTTTGAGGGAAGATCTGTAATGTGACTACAGGCATATTCCCAATCCCTGGAGGTGAGGGAACCTGAATGGGGGGCAGGAAGAGGTCAGAACAGTACTGAGAGACTGAACTACAGCAGCTGGACTTGGCTAAGGACTCAAGTGTGAGGTCTGCTGGCTGCCCCAAGCTCCCGGGGGGGTGGGGGGAAGGGGAAGGCTGGAGGGGAGGCCACCCTGGGACCATTTAGTCCACAGCCCCCCACTCAGTTGTGCAAGCACACACTCTGGTTGCCATCAAACTCATCTCCCCACCCTGGGCTCTTGGGGCAGGTAGAAGAAGCTCTTGCCACTCAGGGATGACCACAGTGGCAGAAGGCTCCAGCACTAATTTGGGTGAGAGGCCAGGAAACTTGAACTGGTCCTTCTGGCTTTTCTTCCCAGTTAGGGCTGGGGCTTCATGCCCTGGAACCTGGAAGCAGACCCCAAGTCCCAATTCTTTATTTTGATTTTTTTCCCAAGGAGGAAGCAATTAAGCAGGGTTTATAGGCACTGGGAGATTTTTTTGGTGTGTGTGTATGTGGGGGGCGGGGTGGGGTGGGGGTTGCAAGCTCCTGAAGGGGCTGAGCAGAGACCAAAAGCCAGGAGAAGATGAAGGGAGGGAAAAGAGAAAATGAGCCTGCGACGGAGAGCACAGGCATGTTCGAGAAACAAAAGGACTTGAGAAAAAGAGGCAGAATGTGACTAAGAGTGAGAGGGAGTGTGAGAAAGCAGGAGAGCAAGCAAGCCTAGCAGGCGGAGAGGGGAGGTAAAAGTGGTTCAGGGAGGCTACAGACGGTGAGAAGGTGACCAACATGGGCCTGAGAAGGGGAGCTCAGGCAGGACAGAGGCAGATAGACAGAGACAGTTTATTTGAAAAGCTGTGTCAGCCTGCAGGTTGGGTGTGGTGGCAGGGCAGCCCCAAGAGCTCCAGTGGAGCTGAGGGCAGTGCTTCCCTCCTGTCCTCCTGCCCCCTACTCCCAGCCAACACACACAGACAACCCTGCATTCCAGACCCCTGAGCCTACAAGGAACTTGGGGCGGGGGGCAGTGCACCAGGATAGGTCCTGGACAATTCCCAGGATCTTCTCAATTACAGGATGGAATTTGGGCAGGTTCTACTGAGTCCACAGCCACCCCCATCCCCACCTCGGAATGCTTGCCCTCTTTTTAAGGAGAAGGATAGGCAGAGGGGATACAACCTCCCCAAATCCATAAGCTAGTCCAGACCACGAAAGGCTCAGAACACAAAAAGGACGAGACTCAGATAGATCCTGTTTCTCTCAGTGCCCTAAACTCTGCAGGATGGCTCCTTTCCAGCTGTGGAATTAGACGCTATCTCTAGTTAGAGACCCGAGAGAGCAATTAGGTCACTCCCATGAGCCCCTAGGATGGGCCACTCCAGGCAGATTTCAACTTAACGGGCTCAAAGCATTTCCAGCCTCCACCCTTACAGGGGAGAACTGGGCACTTCACGACCTTTTCCCCTGGGCTCATTAGCCCAGGGCCCTCAGACCATTTTGAGCCCCTGCAGTTAGCAAATCACTTCACCCAATTTGGCGTCTTGGTAGGAGAGAAAGTCTTGTTAGTCCTTTTCCTGGTACAAGGCAGAGCCCTTCACTCTGATCCTAGTTTAGTCATTCCACCGACCTGCAATAGCATCCTGTATCAACCCAAAGAGAACTAAAGAAGCCGTCTTCTCCCACTCCAGGGCTAATAGATGCACCAACCCCCTGGGACCCAGGACCTGGGACCCAAGAGGCCAAAGCAGGCAGGAGCCTGGGAAGTTAGTGGGGCACCCTGCAAGAGTGGACAGGAAGAAATTCCAGTTACAGGAATTGGGAAGCATGGATGGGGCAGGTCAGGGGCCCCCACTTTCCCAGTAAGTGGGGTTGTCCACACACTGTTGGGACCTCCAGAAAACAGGGAAGAGAGACTTTGACCCTGAGTTCCTACCTGAGTCCTGGCTGCAAAAAAAGGAAAAGGTCCAGAGGTCACAACAGGCCCAGCAACTCCCCACTAACAACCCACAAACCACTGAACCACCGCCCTAAAAGGTGTATGTGTTGTTTGGAGATGCGGGAGAGTTGTGAAGGGGAAGAATCTCCTTTAAATCACTGTCCCCCGCCCCAAAAAACCTCTGGGAGAAAGCTAAGCACTACTGTTCGATCTGAGGGACACAGAGTGGGGGGACTAACGGAACCTGCCTGGGCAGGAATCGTTCGTTCCCCACCCAACTCCCTCGCCAGCTGCGCCGCCACTCTTCGCTTCGGCGGGCCTCCGAAGAAGCTCTGCTGAGGGCTCCATTGGACCCCCGACGGGCGCTGGACAGAACCCCCCCCACACACACACACACAACCCTTCTCCCACTCCGCCCCTCTCCACCGCCGCCTTTGTGAGCCTGGGAGCGGCGCCCGCCTTTCTACTGCCCCGGCAGGGAGGGGGGGCGGTATGAAGAGACACCAAAGCCAGAGAAGCAAACAGGGAAGAAAGAGAAAATGAAAATGGGAGAAGCCAGAATAGAGATGCAGGCGCTGCTTGCTACTCGCCCAAGGCGCCCGATCCCGCGCGCCTTCCCCTCACAGCTAAGCAGATGAGGAACCGGTATTCCGACCTCGTCCCCCGCCCAGGTCAAGCTCGACCCCAGAGCGGCTTCGGACAAAAACCACCACGTTCCCAGGGGCCCCGGAGGGGGCTGCGTTCTCGCCCCCCCCCCCAGCTCTGGGGTGGGCTCTGGAGCACCCGGACTCCCTAGCTCCGCCTGCTGCGACCCTCTCGAGTTGACCTGAGACGCGCGAAGGCGAGGGCCGGGAAGCCGGGGGATCAAAACCCGGCCAAGTGCCCCCACCCACCCCGCCGCACCCTGCCCCGTCTGCCCTCCAGAAAACACTAGAAAAAGCAGGAGACAAAATGGGGCGCCGCTCCTCCTCCGACACCTCCTCACGCGCACTCGGGGGCGCACAGCCTCACCCCGAAGGAGTGTCTCCCACCCCTAGGGACCCGAGCAGATAAGTTACTCACTTAGGGTTGAGGGAGCTCCAGGACACGGGCTCCAGGTTCTTGGCCAGCGGCGTGGCGAGTCGGCACAACGCCAACACGACCATCGCCACAAGCCACTTGCCGAGCCAACGCTGCCCAGGCCGGGCCATCTTCCCGGGGGCAGGCTGCACTTCGGGATCCCCTGGAGCCTACTCAGCAAAGCTCGCCTCGCCTTCCCGTGCCGCTCTGCAATCGGAGCCACTCAGGCGCCCATCCTCCGAAGCCGCTGGCCTTGAAGTGCTCCCCTCCTGCCGGCTTCGGTGTCGCTCTTCTCCGCCCAGCCGGCCAGGAGGATTCACTGGGCAGGCGTCCCCAACCTGGGCATGGGCTGCGGCCTCCGAAGGCTCGCTCCTCTGGCCTCTCCGCCGCACGAAGGGTGATGGGGGCTCTGCGCCCCCGGGTGATCTGCTTGATTCCGCTCGGCTCCCCGAGACTGTTTGGGACTGCGCGCCCTCTCCCCGACGGGGTCTCCCCGCGGAGGACACGGTGGCTGTCCCAATGCCTCAACCGTCCTGGGACTAGCGTCCCTGGGAAGAAGTGGGGGTCTCCCCACAATGCGAGCTCGGTCCCCAGGCTCCCGACTGGGTCGCCCTGGCACGGGCTCTGTTCCTTCGGACTACACTGCACTCCGGGCTGCGAGTCCCCCGACAGCTTCTACTTCAGCGCGGGCCCCGTTCAGTGTACTTAAAAGAGCGGTAAGGCGCTGCCCAGGGAGCCAGGCCCATCAGTTTGCGCCTCTGAAGTGTCGGCCGGCTGGCCCGGCAGCCCCGTTGCTGAGTCGCTGCTCCCCGGCTGTTGAGCCCGAGGGTCTGTGGCCAGCGCGAGCCTCACACACCTCCCACTGCTGTCCAGCGCGCATAGACTCCCTCTGCTACCGCTATGCTATCTACTCCCCTGCTCAGGCGAACGCAAAGCCAACCCTGCTTCTCCTAGCCAATAGCAAGCTCCGTGACGGGGTCCTTGCCCCCATGCCACGCCCCCAGAGCGGGAAGGGGGCGGAGTTTCAGGGAGCTCTTAAGGACGCGGAGCTCGCAAGGGAGCCAGTCTGAGTGTGTGGCTCCTGCGGTTAGGGTTGGGTCTCCCTTAGTTCCTCTCCCAGAGCGAGCTGTCTGTGAGAAGTTGGCGCTTCTGAAGAGCTGCCGGCCTCCTCTTCTCCCCGCACGTCATGTCTGGTCAACACCCTGGTCCACTGACCTGGGCCAGCTAGCCCTGTCCGAAGTTCCTCAAGAAGCTACAGTACTTCCATTCTTTTACACATCCACACCCGCGCCTAAACATGAGCCCTGAAGTCCTGCTCTGTGCCCTCCTTCATGGCAAAAGCAGCCTTTCCAGTCCAGTCTTAGGACTTTGGTGGTCTTTTCTTCTTTGGCTGTCGAAAAGCTCGGTCAGTTTGCACTGAACACAACAGCGGTAGCAGTGGGTGGTTGTGACTCTGGAGGCTTATGTACTGGATGGGTAAGGTCAGACTGCTTGCTCCTGGACCTATCACACGTAGGGCTCTTATGAGATTTTCCTCTTTCGCCTTCGAAACGCATTGTCTGCGTTTCAAAACAAATGCGGTAGCACTGTGTGCTGGGGGGCTCAGGAGCCTCCAGAACTGGGTGGGTAAGGACAGCCTGTCTGTTCCCTGCCCCATCTTACTAGGGCTCTGATGGACTTTCCTCTTTTCATCCTCAAAGAGCGCCGTCTGTATTTCAAAGCCAAAGAGGTAGCGGTGGGTAGTAGAGACTAGGGAAAAGTACTCGTCCAGAGGGGAAGCGCATTCTTTTGCACCGGAGACCAAGCCTTCAGAATCTCAACTTTGAGTATTGTGGGACCGCCTAGGAGTATAGATTTAGAGTCCTGTCATGTGCAAGGCCCCGTGATAGGCAAACGGGTATAAGAAAGCACAAATAGGAAAAGGTTCAGGGCAGGAGCCTTTCGAAAAAAACAAAAGCGGGCATCCTGTCTCTGAGATGCCCAACTCCAGTCTCTTGGCTGGGTCTTTGTCTTCCAGCCTTGGCCCATTCTCTCCGCCCCTCCTTTCCTCTTTGCTTATAATTTGGCTCTATCCCATAGCGCAGACCCCTCCTGGTCTGATCCACTCTCCCTGGTCCGACCCTAGCAGACGTACCCACGTGCTAATGTCTCCCCCTGCTGGTGCTTGATAGCACTTTGCGCGCTGGGACAAACCGGGAGCTCCTACTGGAAGGCGTGGCCCGGCACACACGTTTGAATATAAAACAGGCGTAGCCTTGCCCCTTGTGCGGAGGGTGGGAAAGAACTAAGAGGAAGAACTTAGAGGAAGTTGGGATTGGCTTTGGGACTACCAAGGGTAGAAAGTCTTCCTGCTGCTCCTTTATGGAGATAATCAGGTGAGCAACATTCCCTAAGAGATCTACCATATATGCAGTTTGATTTCCATTCTCACTTAATGGGAGATTGAGCTACTGTGTTTCTCACTGCTTCCTCTACTGATCTCCGTGGCTGTATTTGGGGGAAAGTAAAAAGGAATATGCTGAGCCACTCCTACGTTCAGAAACGGAGGCTTGAGAGTGAGGTGACTCTGTGTAGGGTCTCCCTGCTCCCAGCTGCACTTAGCACTAGGGCCTAAGCAAGGAAATATAAGAACAAGGTACAAGGGGGCTCAGTGGCACAGTTCATACCTGTCATGTAGGAGATCCTGGTTTCAAACTGTAGCACTGCAAAAGAAAACTCCAAGTCCACTGGAGTACTCCAGCTGGGAGACTAGGACCCCTGAAGTGCATGCCAGGATATCAAAATCTGAATATCCGCTGCTTATTGAGCTTATATGTCAAGAAACCATGTTTTTCTTTTCACCACCATTTAAAATGAGTTCCTCTATTCCCATTTTACTTAAGGGGGAAATTAAGCCTTAGAGGGAAGAAATGACACGTGAGGTCACTGAGCTGATCACCTAGTATGTCTGTTCCCCAAATATCTGCCCATTCCCTCTACCATACCGATTTGCAACATTTCCAGTCCCTAATGCTTACTTGCTTATTTGGTTCATTCCTGGTTAAAAGCTGGCTCATGCCTGGAAAGCAGCAGCCTCCAGCATGGCCAGGACTTGGCTTTGTTCAGTCCTCCAAGAGGCTACTAGGCCTAGGAAAGGTCATCTGTGCTCCTGGCTACAGACCAAGTCCTTATCAGCTAGGGCCATTCCTGCCAACTCCATATTCAGCCTCAGACTCTCCCTCTCTGTGGCCAAAATGCCCACTGCTCTTGGGGAGGACAGCTCCGGCCCAGATGAGGGTGATGAGGCTTGGGAAACCTGGGGAGACAGAAGCAGTTCCTGAATGTGCCAACAGCTCAAACTGGGAGGGGGCATGAGGCAGCAGAGGAAATGAACAGAGTCATTGTGTCCAGGCCTACTCCACAAGCTGGCCACCTCTAGTCAGTCCTGGCACAGCCTTTCTGCCTCAACTTTCCCATACTAGATACAGGAGGCCCAGGAGCAGGGCTATACCCTCTTCCTGCCTCAACCAGGACCATGACTCTAAGTTCCCACCTCCTGACTCACCCTAGCCAAGCCTCAGATGTAGTGATTCAGGCCCCCGCAGTAGGGAAAAGTGATCTGCCAGGGAAGTCTGAGAGGATGTCAGGATCTGTGGGGGATGGGGCCCTCTCTTATCCAAGCCTTCCCTGCTCTGCTGGCTGTCATTCCCCACCCAAGACTCAGGTCACTGTCACTACACACACACACACACACACACACACACACACACACACACTACACCCCTCAGGATTCAAGTCCATGGACATTTCCTGAACTCTGCCTTTCTGCTGGCCTCTGAGCTGGACCAGTGCTGCTGATCCAAAGAGGAGCCCCAACAAGCCTTGCCCGAAGGAAGGCCAACCCCAAATTAGTATATGGGGCCTTGTGGGCCCAGGGATGTAGAACATCTGTAGCCTGCAAGAAGCCTCAGATGCTGTGCAGCAACCCCCACCCCCACACACACTAAGAGTAGCTCTTTCCCATCTCAGCTGCTCACCACACTAAGGGGAAGAAGGGTGCAGTAAACGTCAGAGCCAGTGTGTCACTGCTGCTCAGCTGTGTCTCCTAAGAAGGTAAGTCACTTCATCTCTGTGCCTCAGTCACTTTTCTGTAAGCTAGAGATGCTTCTCATCCACAGAGCCACAGTGAGGGGTGAATGAGCTAATGCCCATAAGGGGCTCAGGGTCATACCTGGTCCACCACAGGACTTACTAAATGGAAACACTTATTCTTCTACAGTGCCTCCTACAAAGAACTCTCCTCCCCAGCCACACACATTCTTACCCGTTCACACATGCTTTGTGTGGCACACACATCTTCCTCAGCTCCTCTTGTAGTCCCCCACACATGTGCATGTTCATACCAAGCTCTCATTCTTTTTCACCTCCAGGTGGCAAACTTGGGTTTTGCCTTCATGGAATTCAGAGTCTCACCTCCATATTCTGTCATGTTTGCTGTCATCCATGCAGATGCTTGAATATATGCACACTGCCTTTCTATTCTGGTGGCCCTTGTCCTTGACCTCTCCTTCTCTGCCTTGTCCTCTGAGACATGGAGTGATGAGGTAACACACCCAAGGTCACACAGCTAGGAAGTGAAAAAGTCAAGATTCAACCCTAGGTAATCAGGCTAAACAATTTGATCTTCTAATTCTAACCCTACACTGACAGCCCAGGGTTCTGGAAAGGAGTATGTGTCAAGTCAAGGTGTGAGCCTTGATGATCCACTTGACCCAGCCAGAGCCAACCCTTGGAAAAGCAGATGGAAGGATCAGGGGGCAAGAACCCTAACCTGAGGCCCAGGGTGATGCCAACTGGAACCACCCAAAGAAGCCTAACAACCCTCTCTCTGTCTACAGTCATCTCTGGTCACCCCATGCTTCTTGTCTGCCTCCTAGAATACCTATCGCCTTTGCCTGTACCTGCTCACAGATATAACTATCCATTCCCTCCAGAGAGGGGAAGAGCTTCCACATCTTGAACCAAGCCAGGCACTGTGGCTTCTACCTTTGGTTAATCTTCACAACATCTTTGAGGTTATTATTATTATTATTTTGGTACCAGGGATCAAACTCGGGTCCTTGCGCTTGCACAGCAGGTGGCGAAACCACTGAGCTAAATCTCTGGCCCTTGAGGTTGTTATTGGTAGACCTATTTTAGAGATGAGAAACTCCAGGCTCCAGGCACAATCCAGTTGCATCCCACACTCACCAACCTTAGTTTGCAAATACCTCTATTACCCAGCCAGCTTCTTCCCAGCCTACCCCACACCCCTACCTATACCCCTGTTTCTCTCTTGTTCTACCCTCTGCCTCCACTTGCCTCCTAGCTGTGACCAGCTGGGCTTCCTGTTGGGCCCAGGCTGCCCTCCCTCTCCCTTGAATACTTTGCTTTCCCCAAGTAGTTCTATCTCTAGGTCAGTCTCAGGGCAAACTTGGGGTGGGGCCAACACCTCCCACTCTTCCTGCTGACTGCCACGCCTGAAGAGCTAGGTCTTATCAGCCCAGGTGGGTAAGCTCTGGAAATCTGGTTTCACTCCAGTGGCCGGGGGAAAGGAAGGATAGTACTAAAGGTGAAAGGTCCAAGCACACACTACCCCCAGCCCTTGCCTGTCTCTGCCCCCGCTGCATGCCTGCTTTATGGGTGTTTACCCTGAGATCATCTTGATCTGCCAGGTGCCAGCCTGGCTCTGGGTCAGGCTGAAGGCAGGGAAACACCAGGAATGGACAGGAGCCCCTGCGTGCGCTCTCTCTCTCTCTCTCTCTCTCTCTCTCTCTCTCTCTCTCTCTCTCTCTCATCTCACTATGTAGCTCAGGCTGGCCTTGAATTCACTATGTAGTCCAGGGTGGCCTTGAACCCCTGGAAATCCTCCTGCCTCAGCCTCCCGAGTGCTGGAACTACAGGCCTGCAC